ACACAAACATGCATATATTCACAAAATATGAGTCTTAGAATCAGCAGGTGGGAGGATTTACATACAGTAATAAATATAGATGACTGGATGGATATTAGTTACTTTGAGCAATGAAATTCAGTGCAGCGGTTTAATGCCAAACACAAATGCATTCAACAGAATAGTTTATGTTATTTATGCATGTGTTTTGTTGTATTATTTTCACTTTCCCTCTCTGTCTCTGTCTCTCAGCCTGGTAAAGACAGTAAGCTGCTGCCGGGTCTGTTAGTGGCCCGTGTGATTTTCGTCCCTCTCTTCATGCTCTGTAATGTCCAGCCTCGCTACAATCTGCCCGTCTACTTCTCACACGATGGCTGGTTCATCGCCTTCATGATCCTCTTTGCCTTCTCTAATGGATATCTGGCGAGCCTGTGCATGTGCTTCGGACCCAAGTGAGTAAAATACTGACAGAATCTTATCTATATTATTATTTGGACACATCAGAGTTATTATCATTAACTAGATGTAAAACCTTGAGAAAAAAAAACATGTTCCTTACTTGAAATAAAATATTAACTTAAAATAAAATATATAAAAAAAAAACGTCAAACTTTTTGTTTCAGCTAGTTGCCAAGGAAACGCTTCTTAATTTTTGATTACCTAAAGCTACTACTAGTACTAAAATAACTAAAGTGAAATAAAAATTAATATAAACATTTAAAATGACAAAAAACACAACAAATTTACAAAAACTTTCAATTAGAATATAATCAGAACATGTAAAAATAAGATCTAAATCTAAATATTTACAAAAACTATAATAGCACATCAATGATACTAAAATAGCATGACGTGATTAATGTTAGCCCAGTGGTTCTCAAGCTTTTTTTTTTTTTAATTAATAACTCTACTATGTTACCCAAATCAAACAAGAATTTTGAACCTGCCTTCATTCAAATAGGTCCGATTCATTTTCTGGAAATATATGCAAAAGTGCTCGTTTTATTAGATAATGCATCATTTGCCACTTTGCTTTCATGTACTGTGATTAATCAACTGGAGAAGTATTGTGTACACTAAAAAATGGGTGTAAAACAACCCAACCGCTGGGTCAGAACAACCCAACCGCTGGGACAGAACAACCCAACCGCTGGGACAGAACAACCCAACCGCTGGGTCAGAACAACCCAACCGCTGGGTCAAAACAACTCAATCGTCATTATGGAAAATATTTGATTAATTTCCAAGACTAGAAATCACACTTTTAAAATAAGACCTAAATGTCCTGCTTCTCCAAGTCTATGTGAATCCAGGTGTAAAGTAAAATTGCTGAGGGGTGAATTAAAATAAGAAATGTCTTGATATTTATTTTAAACCATTTAACTGATCTTGAGGCCCCTGGTTGAGAAGCACTGTGTTAAACATATTCTCTTGTTTTTGTGGACAGGAAGGTGGATGCGAGCGAGGCGGAGACGGCTGGAGCGATCATGGCCTTCTTCCTGTCTCTCGGTCTGGCTCTCGGAGCGTCTCTGTCGTTTCTGTTTCGAGCGCTCGTCTGAAGTCTCGGTGGACACACACCCAGCGCTCTGGACAGAGATGATACTGAAGGAGCCTTACAGTCACTCGAATGTCCGGAGCGGCCCTCCACACAGAACAAACTCACAACATCAGCGTCACTTCAACATCAAGACCTGATCTTGAGCCAAAAGTACACAGACTCCCTGATGCTAGATGCTTTAGCTTTAAATATTATATTGTATTGCTCATAATGTAAAGGACTTAAAGCCTACACTACTGTTCAAAAGTTTGAGGTCAATAAGATTTTTTATTTTTTTTTAAACAAATGTAATACTTTTATTCAGCAAGGATGCATTAAACTGGTCAAAAGTGACAGTAAACTAATTTATAATGATACGAAAGATTTCTATTTCAAATAAATGCTGTTCTTTTAAACGTTCTATTCATCAAAGAATCCTGAAACATAAAATGTGTCACGGTTTCCACAAAACAACTGTTTTCAACATTGATAACAATCAGAAATGTTTCTCGAGCAGCAAATCAGCATATTATTATGATTTCTGAAGATCATGTGACACTGAAGACTGGAGTAATGATGCTGAAAATTCAGCTGCGCATCACAGAAATAAATGACAATTTACAATATATTCACATAGAAAACAGAGGTTTTAAATTGTAATATTTCACAGTTTTGCAGCCTTGTTGAGCAGAAGAAACATCTTTCAAAAACACAAAAAAAATCTCGCTGACCCCAAAAGTTTGAATGGTAGAAAGCTGTACAACCATTATTATTGTTGAAGAAATACTCGTTTTAACATTTTGAATTATGAGTTCACCCAAAATCATAATTTACTCACTATGACAGTGTTCGGATGTGAACTATTTCTTCAAATAAATTGTGAGATTTTTAAAATAGCTTCCTTTAAAGATATATTTTCACGAGAGCACAGAACAGCATGTTATTTGTAGAATATTCAAACCTCTTTAGTTTTATAGCAGTTTATATTAAGTAAATATTGTATTATAGTCTTTTTTGATAAGCAGATGGACAACCATAGAGCTTTATATGAAGGTGACGTGCATTATGATATTTTATTTAATTTATATAAAAACATCATCATGAAGTTTTTAAGCTTTAAGCGCAACGAACAAACCCACTCTACCTCGCACCATATTAAACAACTTTTTTCCCTCAACACTACATTTACAAGACAACAAAGTGCCAAATATTATATGCTTTGTTATTAATAAAAAACTGTTTATATCTGCATTGATCTCCTCCATACTTATGTTTGTCTTGTTTGCAACAGTAACAGAAACCAAACAAAAATCAAAACCATCAGTGCAAAACTCAAAGTAAACAGACATCAGACTAGATCTGCCATCAAGATAATTTTCAGACATGATGAAACTTTCAGGAGTGTTGCTTGGACCTTTTGGGTCACAAAAACTACTGCAAAATGTAATTTTAGGCAGATAAATAAAAGAAAACAATCTGGCACATCAATTTAGAGGAATCGTGTGCAGCAGCAGGTATGAAAACATGAAATACTGTAATAATAATAATAATAATATTACAGACTATAGTCGGGGTAGATGTCGTGTTTAATTTCACTCAAGAACAAATTAATCCTCCAAACACCAGCAGTGAATCTCTAAACTGATCGTTATTAGATTGAAATGATTAACACTCATTTGTTCTGCTTGCGTCTCACGAATTAGGCGTATTTATATGTTCCTTCAGCCGACTAAGGTCTGTAATGTACTGCAAAACGAAACAGGTCTGTACACGTTGTTGACACGCATGTTTAATCCCTTAAAGGTCAGTTTTCTGTAAGAAAATATTGAATATTGACAATATGCCACTCTAAAACATGATCGGCTCCAATAGAAACCTTTCAGACTGGGATTTCCATCAGTTCTTGATGGATTAAAGGAATAGTTCACCCAACTTACTGAAAATGTACTCAGGCTATCCAAGGTGAGTTTGTTTCTTCATCAGATTTGGAGAAATGTAGCATTGCATCAGTGTCTCAGCAATGGATCCTCTGCAGTGAATGGGTGCCGTCAGAATGAGAGTCCAAACAGCTGATAAAAACATCACAATAATCCACAGCACTCCAGCCCATCAGTTAACATCTGGAGAAGACAAAATTAACATTTTGTCGTCTCCAGATGTTAACTGATGGACTGGAGTGCTGTGGATTATTGTGATGTTTTTATCAGCTCATTCTGACGGCACCCATTCACTGCAGAGCATCCATTGCTGAGACACTGATGCAATGCTACATTTCTCCAAATCTGATGAAGAAACAAACCCATCTACATCTCGGATGACCTGAGGACTTGGTAACCAAATTCAATTTTTGGGTGAACTATTTCTTTAAGACAGATATAATGGAGACCGGTTGTAACAAACCCCTCAAGTTAAGCAGGATAATTCTTCACTTGGTAATTTTCTTTTATGAATTAAGGGTTATCTCCACTTGGGGTTTATCGCAACCAGATCAGATCTCTAGCGATGAGTCTTCAGTGGTGGTTTTTCGCTACAAGCTGTTATTATTTCTCATCTAGCTCACTAAAACTGAAGCGACGGCGTTTGTTGCTGCTGCGTATCGACAGTCAGATGCTTCATGTGACGGCTATATTTCTCTTAATATTAGTACTTGGATTAGATCAATCTCACCAGGCTTAACTACACAACTAGAAAAAACTAACAAACTCAGTCAGTCATTCGTAACTAAGCGCATTTCCGATGCCAGATTCCTACCAAAACATTTCGTACAAAAGCAGGCATCAAACAAGAGCCCGTTTTTCACTAGCTGTCCTCGTTCACACTATCCAAACTACAGGGATTCGGTTTCTAAACTAAGATCTGAATTGGCAGTTTCCCGATCAGACGCATTTGGTTAACTATGAATTTTCTCAAACGCCTCGAATTGTTGATTCTCCATCGCTGTTTTGCATCTAGTCCATAAGGTCACGTTATGAGCGGCGAGCGGTTTCTACTGCGCTACAAAGACGGGAACGTCAGTACTCCGTTGCAGGCATACAAACACATCCGTTAAAGGCAAAAATAGCATTAAAAATACCAAAACAAAACAAAAACGTAAGAATATGGGTCATTCAGTGACAACACAAACACACAGCGCGTCTCTGGAAATACTGTACATCGGGGAGAAGTTTAAATCGGAGCGCGAGGAACTCAAGAATGCCATCGCCGTAGTGGTTTCAATGGCGGCGACAGGAGATTCAGTCAGTCTGTCAGTGTTCTGTACAGTGAACGCAGTCTAAAGCCGATGGATTTCAAGCCGAATTCTGACGATACGCTCTCGCTATTGCACCTTTCCTTTGAAATGCCAGATCCAATCGTTTAGGCAAAGAACACGGAAAAGCGAGCAAATAAATCCGGCAATACTATCGCTGTTAAGGCGAACCATGGGAGAAAGAGCTCGACGAAAACAGGACATTTTCCCATCCGTTATTCCATTTCCTGAGGCGTATTTTTTTATCCAAACTTGGAATTTTTTCGAAAAGGGAAATCCGGGATTTGAGCTTCCAAACGAGCAGTCGCCGATGTGTTCATGCACATGTGCGAAATGGTTTGTAAGCATTGGAGCGTGTGCTTATGTACAGTCTGAGAGTTTTGGGTTTCTAAGGTGCTGATGTTTGGAGCCGGTTCACAGCGTTCGACGGGGACAAACAGACATGTGTGGATGAAGGCCTTGCGATCGGGTCTTTGTCGTTCTCTCGGCTGTGGTTACTGGTGGACCTCGTTGGCGATGAGACTGTCCTCTCCGGACTGGAAGTCGGCCTCGTTTAGGCTGCTCCCGGCGTTGATCATCTCCTCGTCCTGCGAGGACTCTCCGCTGCCTGCTCCGGTCTCGTCAGAGTTTGGGTCCTGCAGGACCTGGGCGATGTACATCTGCTGCTGAAAACAGACGCACAAGAGTCAATCACAGGTCATATAAAAACATCCATCTGTCAGACCTGCCAACCTCGGAAATGTTTTCATCAGTACCATCAGTGTGGCCGGGAGGGGTGGGGGGTTGCAAGATTTAATGTTAAATATTTTTTATAGGTTAATAATCAGGGTCTGCACTCAGTTTGTGATATTCCTGTTATACAGTATTTTAGAGTAAAAATTAGGGATGCAACAATACAGTCAGCCCACGGTTCAATAAATAACTCTGCTAATAAAGTTTTTGGTTTAGTTATTTTTAAATGCTATTTAAAAAATAAGTATTATTTTGATGGATTGGCCATTATTTAGTGCTATGAACACATGTAATGTGTGTTTCATTCACACTGGACGCCTGACGGCGCCCTCGCGCAGAAAATCCACATATACATTACAGAAGAAATCAAACTCAGGACGCTCCAGGAAATCCCTAATATGGACAAAAACAGACAGCTATCGCTGTAACTGAATGAAAGAAGACAGAAACGCTTTGAATGATGACATTCAAAAAGAACTGTACTGCGACAATGTTTATCTATGTTCTTAAAACCACCTCGAGTATTTTAATAATTAAGTAACGTTATATTTATAATCCACTGCTAATCGCCGTTATTCCAGTGTAGAATTTATTTCTGCGTCATTCTGTGATAAGAAGCCACATCAGATCAAGAGGAAATTTATTTTAAATATTTGTCTGATGTTGTGCAGTAAAA